GCTGCAGGCTAGGCCCTCTTTTATCTAACTGTTCCCTAGGCAGCACTTCCTCGCCCTTTCTCACATCCCATTACAACATCCCACAAAGTCATTCCAATCGACAATGCAAGATTTGATCTTGAGTATAAAGTTATATTTAGCAGCTGAAGATTGCTGCTGGATGGATGGCGGACTTCTTGCCCTCTGCTCTCTACCTGTCTGCTTTTCTTTTATGACTTTTCTTTTATGACAATCATATCGTTGCATTGCCCCTCGTGTTCTTCTTCGTTGTTTATTTTATTGCTTTATTACCTTACTTCTGCGCTGATCGAGCTCTTTTCATTTCTTCCTTTTTTTTTTTTACTGTTGTAAGCCGCCCAGAGTAGCCTCGGGGCTAGATAGGCGGCAAATAAATTTTAACAAATGGAAGAAATATAAAGGCAAAACAAAGGGGCAGAATCGGCACCACAGAAGAGGAAGAAAAAACCACTTTTTAAATTTCAAGTTCGTGTCACCAATTAGCATATTTAAGGAGGCATCTGTCAAATTTCTCCTCGTGCTTTATTACTAAGGAGAAGGGAAAGCTATCACCTCATTCCCTACATGAAGTCAGCTGCTCTGACAAATTGCTATGAAGGAGCCCAGCTACTGTCCCCTCCTTGTCTCTTAATGCAGGGCTTTTCAACCTTTTCACCCATTGTACCACTTTTAGGATAGGGCAACATACGAGTACCACCAGTCGCCTGGCAAGGTGTCAAAAACTTGATGAACAAAAAAAAAGAGGAAAAAAGTGATAAAGTACAGGTAGTCCTCGACTTACAACAGTTCGCTTAATGACTGTTCGAAGTTACAATGGTACTGAAAAAAGTGCCCCCCAAGGCACAGCCGAGCAAGACACCTGCCTGCCCGCCCAGTGGCGCTCTTCCTCCTATCCAAGGTTTTCATTGTTGTGAGCATTTCTGTTGAGGATTGGCAGCGGGGGTGGGGTGGGGGGGTGTTTGGTTTTTATTCCCCCCGTCTGCTGGGTGGTTGCAGCAGGTTTTGGTCACTTCACCTGACCCTGGGACACTGTGACCGTCATAAATATGAATCAGTTGCCAAGCATCTGAATGTAAATCACAAGACCCTGGAGAGGCTACAACATTCCAGCTGATCCTGGCGCTTCTTCAGGGCTCAGCAGAAGCACCAGGATCAGTGCTGCTTTCCAGCTGATTGGTGCTTCTTCAGGGCTCAGCAGAAGCACCAGGATCAGCGCCGAGCTCCAACTGGAGCCTGGCACTGATCCTGGCACTTCCGCTGAGCCCTGACAGCCCCAAAGAAGCGCCGATCAGCTGGAAAGCGGCACTGATCCTGGCGCTTCCACTGAGCCCTGACAGCCCTGCAGCTCCAGCCATCTCTCGCTCAGGCTTGTGCGGTGCTGCCACCGGTTCAGCTCATTCCCCTCCCCCGCTACCACTTTTCTAGGATGGTCGTGTACCACCTGCCAGGTGCCAATGTACCACAGGTGGTCCCCGTACCCCTGGTTGAAAATCCCTGTCTTAATGGGTCTTCAGGGGCTGCCTTTCCTCTGGACTTTTCCTTAAGCATAATCCTCCACTTAGCCTCCCTCCAGACCAGCACCTTTCCTTCAGCCTTCCCAGCTCATCTCCTCATAGATGGGGAATCAATTCCCCCCAAGAGGAATGTTTCGTCTCCCTCAAAAGCTGGGCTGCAAGGTGTGCTGGCCACCAGACCACACACACACCCCCACATCGCTGCCGACGTTCTCCGGCCTGTGTGACTTACCTGTTCCAGAGTGAGCTGCTTCGAAATGGTGTCGTTTTCCAGTTTTTTAATTTTCTTCATCAACTTGTTGACTTGGAACTCCTGCTCCTGCTCCAGGTGCTGCTCCAGCTCTGCCTTCTCATGCTGCAGCTAAGATCGGGAGAGATGTCAAAGCCCAAAGGGTCAGCGTTTTGCAGCAGCAAACCAACGTTTTGACATCAGTACACGAAATCTGGCCCTGGTCAAACCCAGATTGGAAGTGAAATGCAGCCTTAACGATAAACAGGAAGGGCACATAATGTCTGAAGCACTTCCAGGCAGAAAATGCTTTTGTTTCTTCTGAAGGGGCTGACTTCACTACTGTAAGAAATTTCTACTTCTTACTGGAACAGGTAAGTTTTCTACAAATAGAGACAAAATATAGCGATCTAGAGCAAATTGGATTTCTAGACATTTCATGCAAGGATGAGGCTCAAGGAGGTTTTTACGAAAAGACTGGGCAGCCACCTGTCTGAAATGGTATAGGTCAGGGGTAGGCAACCTTGGCTCTGTTATGACTTGTGGACTTCAACTCCCAGAATTCCTGAGCCAGCCATGCTGAGGGGAAAGGGAGAGGTTTCCAAGCTGAGCCATGCTGGCTCAGGAATTCTGGGAGTTGAAGTCCACGAGTCCTAAAAGAGCCAAGGTTGCCTACCCCTGGTATAGGGTCTCCTGCTTGAAGAGGGGGTTGGACTAGAAAACTTCCAAGGTCCCTTCTAGCTCTATTCTGGCTTTGTTAACTTTTTTCTGACTTCCACATATTTCTTCTCCTGCATAACACAGGACACTATTGGGCATCCCTATCTCCTGATCTTCTAGCGCAACCCGTCTTTAACAGGCTTTCCCCTGGGGTTCATTTTTTATCATGCTCCTAAATATCCAGAGGGGAACCTCACAGCGGGTTCCTCTCCAAAGTCTCTGGTGTATTTTTTCACACCTAAAATCATCCAAGCCTTTCTTTGCTGGTTGCAGAGAAAGCATCCTGAATGTGCCCGAATCCTAGAACCCACATGCTAAGATAAACGTGATTTGTCGTGAACCTTGGAGATGAACTTAATATGCAATCCACAGGTTGCATCTAAGCCTTTATACTGCCTGTCTGAATAGGCACAGGCTAGATCACCAGCAGGACATATGACCAAAAGGGTAACTTCAGCTGGAACATCTGGCCTCTCTGTGGGGATTCCTGCCTCCACCTGTTTTCTGAAACACCTGGGCTGCTCTTGCAAGGCGCTGCAGAGTGGAGCCTGCCAGCTGTGCCAAGGAAGAGTTATGTATTATATTTTTTATTAATTTTTTTTACAAGCATAAGTCACTCAATAATTGATAAACAGTGTGTTGTCTGGGTTACATTTGTAAAAACACTCCTTAACCATTGATTTCTATAGTCTGTATTCCATATATTAATTTTAGTTGATTTCCTCTTTCCTCGAAACATCCATTTTTGCAAACATTGAGTTAATACAATTCTTATTGTTTTAATAAATGACAATTTAGTATATATTTTTTTCCAATATTCCTAAAAAATAATCATCGTATTCGTACATTTCTTTTCTTTTCAGTAATTTGGATTGCCTTATCGTCGATCCTGTTCCAATCCTTATTTTAGTTTATTTCTCCCGCCAAATTCTAAATATTCTTGCTGGTAAAGGTTTTCTCAGCGACTAGTTACATTTACATTGACAAGACTTAATTCTATTTTTTTCCATATAAGCCATCTCACATTTTTACGTTTCTTAAGTAATGGATAAAAGAGTAAAAAGAAAGGGGAAAAGAAGAAGAATGAAAAAGAAATAAAAAATAAAAAAGAAGAGAAGAAAGCAGGAGTAACGGAACATAAAAAATAACATAGTACTTAGAAGATATATCCCTCCTAGATTAATAGTATTTATTTTCTCAAATTTCTTATTCTTTTTAATCATAGTTAAGAATATATTTAATCTTTAGACATTCTATTCAATAGGTCTAGTCATCTGTTCCTTTTTTTTTTTAAAGTTGATGTCACTTTAAAAGCAAGTATTCTGCTCTGGTTCTTTCCAAAAAGAGACATACAAGACTGGTCTTATCATCCAGACATCCTCGATAAATACTTTAACTCAGAACTGGCGGAGATCAAACAAGCCCATCTCACTTTTCAGAGTTGACGTCCTCCATCTGTGCCGCAGTCTGAACTGGAGACAAGTTCAAGCAAAGGCTGAATATTTCTGAGTGAGGAGGATAGCAAATACTGAAGGACTCCTTCCAGTCTGCCTTATTGTGTAGGGCTGGAAATCCAGCTGTCCATTTTCCCAAAACTGCTTTGTGAAATCAACTTCTCAAAATCTCTGAGAAGGACGCAGAGTAACCCGTAATTCTGTAAAGCTAAGCAAAACAACTTTCAAAGTAATAAGCAGCAGCTGGATACCAAATCAAGAGATAAACCTTGCTTGGGAGAGTTCTAACCACGTCTAAAGGAATTGGTTGAAAGGATCACGCATCTCGGTTCTAATTTACACGAAAGCTGGGACATGACCGTTGAAGTAAAGACAAGGATAGAGAAAGCTTGAACAGCATTCTTCAAAATGAAAAAAGGTCTTCTGCAGTCACAACATAAGCCTAAGACTGAAAATCAGGCTTGTCAGATGCTATATTTTTTCTATCCTGCTCTATGGAGTAGAGAGTTGGTCTCCGACAGAAGGCCACCTGAAGAGACTAGAAGCATTCGAAATGTGGATTTATAGGCGGCTGTTACGTATAAGCTGGGTTGACAAGATCAGAAATGAGGAGGTGATAAGCCACCTGGGAAAGCCAAGGGAAATCATCAAAACAATTAAAAAACGAAAATTAGAATATTTCGAACGTGTGATGCGACACCCAGAAAAATACGGCATTCTCCATTTAATCCTCCAGGGAAAGATTGAAGGCAAATGAGGTCCAGGCAGAAGAAGAACATGGTGGCTTCAGAATCTAAAGGACTGGTTTGGACAAAACTCAGCAGCACTTTTTCGTACGGCTGCTGATAAAAACAGGATCGCCAACATGATCGCCAACGTCCGATAACGGATATGGCAGAAGGAGGAGGAGGAGGAGGAGGAGGTGGAGGAGGAGGAGGAGGAGGAGGAGGAGGAGGAGGAGGAGGAAGAAGAATTGGTGCCAGGTGCAAATCCACCAGGGCTTGCAAGAGATCTGGAGGTTGGAAACATCAAATAGACGTCACAACGCAAACAGCTGAGGGTCACAAGGGAGACCCTCTTATACTCAAAATATCTCGTGGCTCCAGCTTCATGAATGTTTTTATTCTAGAATCATTTCCTTCCTCACCTTTCACCTCTTCTGCTAACAAGGGTCTTTCATTCCAAGGTGCCTGCCAACAGGGGCTCACAATATCTTTGCAGAACATTATGGAACCAACGATGCTGCTACTGAAAGCTAAAAGAACGAAGTGGTCCTCCAAGGACAATATATCCCAGGCGCCACACTTCTACACAGAACAACATAATGTTTTGACACCTATTGGGGGGAGGGGGGAGAGACAAATCCATTGCCTTACTCAATAATTGAATTCTATTTATCTAATAAAGTTCTCTTGAAAGAATTTTATAGACTCAAGCAACTTTTTCCATTAGTTTATGTGCACACATGGACTGAACAGCACTAAACACCTCAAAAGAAAGAAATGACAGGGAGAGACACAGGTGGACAGTCCCCAGAGAGTTGCTAGATGAGCAGACAAGGGCAAATTAAGCCATAATATTTCTCTCCTCTAACATATAAACATTTGGAAACAGACAGCATACTAACAAGCAGAGACATCACCCTGTCAACAAAAGTACGTATAGTCAAGGCCATGGTTTTCCCAGGTGCAAAGTATGGCTGTGAAAGTTGGACCATAAGAAAGGCTGAGCGCCAAAGAATGGAGGCCTTTGAACTCTGGTGCTGGAGAAGACTCCTGAGAGTCCCCTGGACTGCAAGGCGATCAAACCGGTCAGTCCTGGAGGAGATCAACCCCGACTGCTCTTTAGAAGGCCAGATCCTGAAGTTGGAACTCAAGTCCTTTGGCCACCTAATGAGAAGGAAGGACTCCCTGGAGAAGAGCCTGATGCTGGGAAAGATGGAGGGCAAGAGAAGAAGGGGACGACAGAGAAGGAGGTGGCTGGATGGAGTCACGGAAGCAGTAGGCGTGAGCTTCAATGGACTCCAGAAGATGGTCGAGGACAGGAAGGCCTGGAGGAACGTTGTCCATGGGGTCGCGATGGGTGGGACACGACTTCGTAACTAACAACAACAAAGAAATAAACAGTCTCTCAGATTGAAAGCTGGCTAATATTTTTATAAAATATTAAAAAATGTTACAAAGAGCATAACACACTTCTGACTTTTCCGAAGCTCTTTAGCAAGGAAAATCCTGCAAAAAACCAGGAGAACCCCAAAACACAGATTCTCGCTTTCAAAGCCACAAGATCTGCACCTAAACTCTCAAAACAGATCCTGGTTCCCGTAACTGTTCAAACAATAAAAAAAATATCAGATCTCAAAGTACCAGAAGTACTTTTTGAATGATTCAGGAAGAACAAAGAGTTTTTGAAAACACAGTAGCTAATTTTACGCATGTAGTAAACAAACCCTTGGAACGGTTGCAACAATGTCGATCCAGTTGAAAACAAAACCTCAAATCTAACAACAGTTGCAAAAAAACAACAACAGAAAACATTTCTACCTCTAGGTTGGCTGAAACCCAAATGGGGCTAATTCGCAAAGTGAGAAATAAGCCAATTAAAATAAGAGTAAGAGATTAGAAGGCAGTAGAAAAACAGAGACGAACAGCTGATGCAACACCATCCCCTGCAGGATTTTCGAAGAGAATCCAAGGTTCTCGAAGCCAGTGTTTCTCAACCTTGACAATTTTAAGGCATGTGGACTTCAACTCCCAGAATTCCACAGCCAGCAATGCTGGCTGTGGAATTCTGGGAGTTGAAGTCCACATGCCTTAAAATTGTCAAGGTTGAGAAACACTGCTCTAAGCAATCTAGGAGCCCAGCTCATCCTCCAGAGAAAAACCCAGAATCTGTTAGTTTTGCTCTCTGCAATGCACCTCTTTGTGATGAACCAAGGCATGTGCGTCTGGTCACAACAGGTTCGAGGTTCATGTCTTTGCTTCCTGTCACACCTGAGCAAACGTGGTGTGTGGACACAGAAAGGGGGTCCCCAGGGACCCTGAGTAGCCGCAGAAGGGTTTGAACATGCCTATGAAGCAGCAAAGCCTGGCAACGTTTTCTAATGATATTTTATTAATTTTCCAATTTTACATTTAAGTGGCGACTGGGTTAATCAATAGTTCGATAACAAAATCTTTAGTGCAAATCTCAAGTTGCAACATCAAATATTTCTTCTCTTTTTCCCCTTAACATTTACTGTCTCGTATTCAAGCTAGCACATTTCTAATTATACCAGCTCAATCAAAACATCACGATTACATTTATCAATATTTTTTTATGCTTATGCGTACCTTAATTACATTCAATCTTCACAAACAATCCATGTCCTGTTCTTAATTTTTACCCCATTTTTAGTTTCTCATCAATATTCCAATTTAACCTTTGATAGTTATAATGTTCAAGCCCTTAGGTAACCAAGATTTCCCTTATCTCAATTCACAATGAAATCTAATATCCAAAATACACATTTTATCTATCTGAATGTAATATTGTTCTGTTGCCTAAATAAGTTATCTATTTCCGGGCAACTTTTTCAATTTGGTTGATACTAAGGAGTATTCTTAATTGGAATTAAGCCACACTCAAAATCAGGACTTGGATACCTATCACTAAAATTGTCTTCATAAATGTATTGATTGATTTGAGCTTTATTAAGAAATGCATTAAATTGAATATGATGCAATAATTAAGGGAAATAGAGAGGGAACCTTTAGTGATGTAATCTTTGATTGACATGAATGACTCTGTTGCTGGACTATGGGTTACCCTATCTCCACGATGTTTCCTAATTACTTGGTTGTAAAAATTGATAAATTAATAAAACTTGTTACAAAAAAAAGGGAATATTCCCCAAATTGAAGGTACAGGTAAACTCTGCTTTCAAAAATTGTAAAAGGCCTCGACTCAAGAGTGGGAGGAGGAGGAGGAGGAGCTGTTGTTCTTTGCCTTTTTGGGTTCTGGATAGTATCATCTGAACCTTGCTACTTGGATATACAACATTATTTAAATCTGGCTGTGGAATTCTGGGAGTTGAAGTCCACATGCCTTAAAATTGTCAAGGTTGAGAAACACTGATTTAAATGGAGGGCATTCCTAGTGGAAACTGGAAGCAAAAAATATAGATTGGACTGTCAAGAGACCAAGAAGGATATATAAACACCGTAGCAGTTCCCCATCGCAGCCTTGGAAGTCAAAACATACCACACACACACACACACACAGAGATACATGTTCTGCAGTTGGTGAAGTGTGAAGGGACATACAAAGAGTTGATCCAAGGCAAATTCCAAAGCAAATTAAACACATCACCCCTTTGGGCAGAATCTGCTCAATCCATGCACTGAATCAGAGTCGCTTGATCACTTTTTTCAAACTTGGCACTTGTTTTAAGATTCCCAGATTTTCCCAGCCCTAAGCTAACCTGGGCAGGGAAATTCTGGGACTTGGAAGTCCATCTCACAGGTACCCAACCTTGCATTAGATTCATTGGGCCGTCTGGGGCAGGGGTAGGCAACTTTGGCTCTTTTATGACGCGTGGACTTCAACTCCCAGAATTCCTGAGCCAGCATGGCTCAGCTTGGAAACCTCTCCCTTTCCCCTCAGCATGGCTGGCTCAGGAATTCTGGGAGTTGAAGTCCACGAGTCATAAAAGAGCCAAGGTGGCCTACCCCCTGGTTCTGGGGGAATCTTGGCATAGGAGCACAAACAACACAGGGTTGAACTGACTTGTCCCACTGAATGGGATCTTGGGGTAATTCGCACCCCACAAATCAAATATTAGTCATTTTACTACACGATTTTGAAAAAGCCTTTTTCCTTTAATTTTTGGAAATGGCCTCTAATTTAAAAAAAAAAGATTTTTTTTTTTTTGCAACTATCTTCTTTCCCTTGGTTAGTTTACCCGTTTGGAATATTTAGCCGATAATGGCAGTTAGGACATTTTTCCTTGACAGAACCCTTTTTGATTATTTCGTTCTAATTATCTGCTGCTGAAGGGTCTGAAACGGGGATCCCAGTGATAACAAATGCATTCCCTATCTAAAAAGGAGAATGGCCCGAGCAGTTCTTGTTTTGGGAAGGGGGGAAAATAGAAGGAGAGAAGCAACCTAGAACTAAGGAGAAACTTCCTGACAGTTAGAACAATTAACCAGTGGAACCACCTGCCTCCAGAAGCGGCGAATGCGCCAACACTGGAAGTTTTCAAGAAGAGACTGGACAGCCATTTGTCTGAAATAGTATAGGGTAGTGGTGGCGAACCTATGGCACGCGTGCCAGAGGTGGCACTCAGAGCCCTCTCTGCAGGCACGCGGACCATGCCCCAGAGATGGAAACCGTCCCTCTTCAACCAGCCACCCGCTAACTTGCCGAGGTCCCATATGGCCGGATGCATCCCAGCACGGATGGTTTCCCTACCCCCCACCCCATCCCTTCCGGCCTCACATACTCTCCTTTTCCCGGGCACGACCCACTGCATCACCTCCTCAGCTGTCAGCCATCCATCCAGCTCAGAACTGCTGGCGGCGGGCTGCGGAGCCCCAGAGTGCGCCGGTCGAGTGGCCGGCAGGCTGTGGCTGCTGACGGACACCGTCGGCCCCCATGCGCTCGCTGGCCTCTGTGTGTGGGGGCCGATGGTGCCAGACAGCAGCCACCCCGGCCTCTGCCTCGCCTTGCCCCGTGGCAATGGCACCCTGCCCTGCCTCGCCTCACCCCGCAGGACGAGCCTCCTGCCCACCACCCCACCTGCCAGAGACCCCCTGGATCTCCCCCAACCCTGCCCGGCCCCCACAGGCATCCCTCCCCACGAGCAACATCGAGGTGACCGCGCCCACCTTGGCCACTCCCACCCAGTCTGCCATGACCACCACAGCCACGCCCACCCAGTGGGCCACGCCCACCTGGCACCCGGCGATAAATAAGTGGGTTTTGGGTTGCAGTTTGGGCACTCGGTCTCTAAAAGGTTCGCCATCACTGGCATAGGGTTTCCTGCCTGAGCAGGGGGTTGGACTAGATGACCTCCAAGGTCCCTTCCAACATTATTACTATTATTATTATTATTATTATTATTATTAAGAAGACATACCTGCATCAGCTTCCTTGACAGTTCGTTAGTGAGAAATTCTTCCTCCTTTTCATAATTCACAGCCAACGTCTCCTTCTCCTTCTGCAAAGCTTGGATCTTCTTAAACAGGGTATTACTGATAAATTCTTCTTCTTGCTCCGCTCGTGCTTGCTGGAAGAGAAACACCACACTCAGAGCCAGGTGGCTGGTCTGGGAGAGATCTGTATGCTTCCCCCACCTAAGCTTCTGCTGCCATTCAACTCAACAAGGCTGGGAGAAGCCACAAGGTCTGTCAGGAAAACCCAAGCCCCATCTCTTTGCTGCTGCCAGCATGGACACCATCCTGTTCACGGAGGGCCTAGGCCAGGGGCAGGCCACCTTGGCTCTTTTGTGACTCGTGGACTTCAACTCCCAGAATTCCTGAGCCAGCCGTGCTGAGGGGAAAGGGAGAGGTTTCCAAACTGAGCTATGCTGGCTCAGGAATTCTGGGAGTTGAAGTCCACGAGTCATAAAAGAGCCAAGGTGGCCTACCCCTGGTCTAGGAGGCTCACCGCTTAGAACAGGAGGACTTAGGACAGGGGGTAGGCAACCTTGGCTCTTTTATGACTGGTGGACTTCAACTCCCAGAATTCCTGAGCCAGCATGGCTCTGCTTGGAAACCTCTGCCTTTCCCCTCAGCGTGGCTGGTTCAGGAATTCTGGGAGTTGAAGTCCACGAGTCATAAAAGAGCCAAGGTGGCCACCCCTGGTGTAGACCAATCCTCTCCAGGTGGGTCGGACTACAGTCCCCATCATCCCCCCCCCACTGTCTAAATTCAATGCGATCTCTACTCCTACCTATTGGGGTATTTCTACCTGGCTGCTTCCAGGCAAGTCTACTGTAGCTACTTTCTGTTGTTTTCCTCAAAATGTTTTCTCTCCCTCCCACCATATACACACCATCTACTCCACAGCCCTGGGATTTCCTAATAAGCAAGGTCTGGGGTGGAGTGAAAAAACACCCTCCCCCTCATTAGCCACAGAAGCACCCTAGGGATTTTGGGCCTGTTGGTTCACCTAATCCAGGGGTAGGCCACCTTGACTCTTTTATGACTCGTGGACTTCAACCCCCAGAATTCCTGAGCCAGCAGGACTCAGCTTGGAAACCTCTCCCTTTCCCCTCAGCATGGCTGGCTCAGGAATTCTGGGAGTTGAAGTCCATGAGTCATGAAGGGGCCATAGTTCCCCCATGCTGGCTGAGGAATTCTGGGAGTTGAAGTCCACGAGTCATAAAAGAGCCAAGGTGGCCTACCCCTGGACTAGGCCGCTGTTCTAAGCTGCCACGGAGGAAAGACAGCGACCCCGGCACCATAAATGCTCTCTTGCAGTCAAGAAGGCAGGACAAGAAGCAACGGAAGGAAACTAATGAAGGAGAGAACTAAGGAGAAACTTCCTGACAGTTAGAACAATTAACCAGTGGAACAACCTGCCTCCAGAAGCGGTGAATGCGCCAACGCTGGAAGTTTTTAAGAAGAGACCGGACGGCCATTTGTCTGAAATGGTACAGGGTTTCCTGCCTGAGCAGGGGGTTGGACCAGATGACCTCCAAGGTCCCTTCCAACTTTATTATTATTATTATAAAGTTAAAAGCAAACTTCAAAGCATGAACAAACCACGAACAAGGGAGCCAAGCTGTGGCTTCCGTACAAGCTGCTCCACCCGTACCCAACTCCTTTCCTGGTCTGTAGCGGATCTTAATTGGTGCAACAGTTCAACCTGCCAATCTGGTTTTGCCAGGCAGTTGCAACACCGATGGGACCAGGAGCATCTGAGCACAAGGGTCACTTAACTCAGCTTAGCCGTTTAAACAGAACCAAAGCAGCCCAACTGGCTAGAAAATGAAATGTCGAACAAAACGTGAGAAGTCTGCGCTTTCCTTGGATCTCAGGAAATGCCCGCAAATGATCTCTGCGCGATGGCAACAGACGGGAAAGAGATCTATGCCCTACAGCCTTGCCTGTAGGGCACAGAGAAGGAAGAGCAAGGTGAAAGATTACGACAGAGAGAAAGGGATGGGAAGCCAAGTTGGCAGGACTGGATCGAACTGCTATTACAATTAAACCAATTAAGTTACGATTACCCCTCGCAAATTAAAAGCACAAACCGCACGAGGTATAGGACAGCTCGGGGGAAAGGGGGGGGATATACATGATGGGAAAGGACAGATGATGGATGGATGGATGGACAGACACACAAAGGTGTAAGAGAAAAAATAGTATGTGAAAAACCTTTAGAGAGCTCTGGAAAAGCTGGTTCCTCTACTAAACCATTGTGACCCCGTCGACACAGGAAATAACTCACTGGAGCCAGACCACAGTTATAGCACTGTTAGGTTTTTATTTAATCTTCTCTTTGGAACTCACATCCAGGATCTCCAAATCTGGTCTGGAAGGTTTAGTTTTAGAGAACTAGGAGAACAGCTGGATTAGTGTGTGTGTGTGTGTGTGTGTGTGTGTGTGTGTGTGTGTGTGTGTGTGTGTGTGTGTGTGGAGGAGGAAGGGGGAATAGGACACTGTGAACCTCCTGCTGGGAGCAGGATCTGATTCATACAAAACCAACATTTCTCTCAAGCTTTGCGAGAGATGTACAATTCATGTTATGATTTGCTGTCAACTGCAGGAAAGGTCATTCTGACATCTTCGGTGAACCGCGGCTTTAAAATCCTAGACTAGCAGCACTAGATGCAGCAGTGCAGAGAACAGAACTCAGCATTTGATTGCAATTACGCCTCTGCCATCTTTTATTCCTTCTTATGGCTGCAGAAGTGAGGGGAGGGGAGGGAACGATTAATCGTCCGTGCAGAAAAACACACCTCAGGAGAAGCAGTGCTGGAAGGATGTAAAAAAGATGTTGAGACTCTGGAAAGAGTGCAGAGAAGAGCAACAAAGAGGATTAGGGGACTGGAGACTAAAACATATAAGGAACGGTTGCTGGAATTGGGTATGTCTAGTTTAACGAAGAGAAGGACGAGGGGGGACATGATAGCAGTGTTCCAATATCTCAGGGGCTGCCCCAAAGAAGAGGGAGTCAAGCTATTCTCCAAAGCGCCTGAAGGCAGGACAAGAAGCAACGGGTGGAAACTAATCAAGGAGAGAAGCAACCTAGAACTAAGGAGAAACTTCCTGACAGTTAGAACAATTAACCAGTGGAACAACCTGCCTCCAGAAGCGGTGAATGCTCCAACACTGGAAGTTTTTAACAAGAGGCTGGACAGTCATTTGTCTGAAATAGTATAGGGCAGGGGTAGGCAGCCTTGGCTCTTTTATGACTTGTGGACTTCAATACCCAGAGTTCCTGAACCAGCCATGCTGACTCAGGAATTCTGGGAGTTGAAGTCCACGAGTCATAAAAGAGCTAAGGTTGTCTACCCCTGGCTAGTTTAATGAAGAGAAGGACGAGAGGGGACATGATAGCAGTGTTCCAATATCTCAGGGGCTGCCCCAAAGAAGAGGGAGTCAAGCTATTCTCCAAAGCACCTGAAGGCAGGACAAGAAGCAATGGATGGAAACTAATCAAGGAGAGAAGCAACCTAGAACTAAGGAGAAACCTCCTGACAGTTAGAACAATTAACCAGTGGAACAACCTGCCTCCAGAAGCGGTGAATGCTCCAACACTGGAAGTTTTTAAGAAGAGACTGGACAGCCATTTGTCTGAAATGGTATAGGGTTTCCTGCCTGAGCAGGGGGTTGAACTAGATGACCTCCAATGTCCCTTCCATCATCATCATCATCATCATCATCATCATCATCATCATCATCATCATCATCATTATTATTATTATTATTATTAAGGAGGTGGAGAAACTTAAGTCCCGGACCAAAGAACAAGGCCTCAAAGGATGTTTATTGCAAATCTCTTCTTTCCAAAAACTCAAAAGATGCAGAACAAACTGGACAGTCTGGCTCAGTGAGTGGTGGAGATGGAAAGGTGGCACAGAAGAAGACTCTGGATGGCCAGAGGGGATTTGACCCCGCTGCTTCTTGCCCGGATTAGTAGTTAAGTAAGGCAACCTTTGATCCAGCTATTTCTCCAGGGCAAAAGGCAGCCCAGCCGAAGCCCGGGAATTTCCCCTCTAGAGACAGACGGCTCAGGTCCTCTCCGGAGCAGCAGACAGCATCAAACCCAGGCAACCCCTTGCCGGCAGCCCTAGAGGAAGCCGAAAGGCCTCCGGGGGGGGGGGGCATCGCTGGAAGGGCTGCTCCCACGTGGGCCGAGGCCCTGCACGGAGTTCACTTAATGAGCCCCGGCAAGGGTAAAATCTTCAGAGGGGGGGGCTTCTCCCCAAAGCATTCAGGCTGCAAAGTGGGAGGACACAAAGCTGAGGCGAAAAAGGCTTACAAAGAAGTGCAAGAAGGATTTGCCAAAGCTTTTCAAGAAGCATGGAAACCAACAGGACTAAAATGAAGGGAAAAAGAAAGGAAAGGGGAAAAAAAAGAAGGAATATTCTACAGGAACGCGACTTGAGACGCCAATGCACTATGTGTCAGTGCTGCTGACATCGGATGTTTTTGCATTGACAACAGAGGGAAATGTGGCCATCTTTTTCCCCTTTCACTTTTAGAGTTAAGATGATGCTGGGAGGGGGGGATGTGAACTAGAGTCCAGCTAGACATAACAACACTAGACCTAGCGTGAGAAACAAGGTTATTGTAACCAGAACTGATAAGGAATTGGCGGGCTGGAGAACTGGAGAAGAGGCCTGCGCTTCAAGCTAATTGGGGAATGTGATTTATGACTGTTAACTGGAGGAGGGAATTGTGCTTTGATACTACAGTATGTGCTCAGGGGAGGGGAATTCAGTTTTTGGCTTCGATTATGCACTGCCCATGCTATGCTACTCAAAATAAAGATTCTTTAAGGTAAACAATGCCTCGAAGTTCTTTGGAAGAGTTTCATGTTGGAACCATGACAGTATGACTGGGTGGCTGCCCCAAGCCGAGCTCCAAGGAGGAACCTCAAAAGCCAGGCAAACTCTGGATGATTCTGAGCAGGATCTGGGATCCTGATAGGCCCCCATACAGATCCTCTGACTCCCTCTGGAAAGACTCCTTTGCCTAGCAAAGGTTCAAAAATAATAATAATAATAATAATAATAATAATAATAATAATAATAATAATAATAATAATAATAAT